TTTATCAAACAGCCTTGAAATTACAACTAAAATTTATGATCTTGACAAAATCTTTAATAATAATAATCTCATTCATCTGCAACAGGGAGGTCATGCACGATTAACAGAATTTATTTAAGATTGACTGCATAAACGAAGAAACTAAAATTATCAAAAAAAAAAAAAAGGGTACTACATGGTGGGGTCCCGCCTACACTTTTGAAAATGTTAAATATGGTATATATATTTTTATTTTTTTACAAACTTTTATTTTTAAAGTTTGAATTATGGATACCATTTGAATATAAAAAAATATTTAAGACATAGGTGTATGAATCATTTCATTAATTTTTATAAAACCAAGATAATTTTTCTTTATGATTAATTCTTCTCAAGAAATGATAATTTTATATAGGTAGGAATAAATATTAAAAAAATATAATTTATATAAATTTTTATATTATTTATATATAAATTTTTATACAATTTATCTTTTATTAAACTAATAGTTAAATCTATTCTATATGTGACCTGACAAAAAAAAATATAATTTTATATTATTTATTTAATAATATTAAAATATATTATTTAAAAATAATTAAATATACCTAATTAATTAATTGTTATTGTTTCCTTTGGTATTAATTAACTGTGATTGTTCTTGGTATGCAAATTTTGTTAAATCCTTGCTCTGTATATTCAAAACTGGGTTTTAGCTTTTGGTATGTGCTTTCATTTTGTTTCATTTCATTTACGAGAGAAAAAGTTCTGGTTCATGAATTTTAGCTTTCTAGTGGATTTTTATTGAATCTTGGACGGTGTAAGAAAGAGATGTTTTTCTATGATTTTGTCTTAGTGCAAAACATATGATTCAAATAGTGGAGTGGGTTAAAATTTTATTGCTTTATTCTTGTTTGGTTATTGAGAAAGTGAAAGAAAATTAAGTAGAATTATAATTTTTTAAATCTGCCCATTTATTGTTTGTTGAAGTGTTTGGTGATCGGAGTCATAGCCGTAATGATAGAGCCGTAGAGTTAGCCTGGCAACCACCACCACCACCACCA